TAAAAAAACTAGTATTGATTTGAAAAATTGAATACATTTAGCAATAGTCTAGTACTTCCTGAAGCAAAGATTAGTACATTTGGCAACAATCTCGTATATTTGTCAACAATCTAGATCGTTTGGCATGAATCTGGTAGTTTGCGAAAAAAATCTAGTACATTTGTCAGTAAATGTAGCAACACATTCAAAAAGTCTAGTCCATTTGTCAATTATCTAGAACTTTCTAAAAAAAGTTTTATCCTTTGGACATCAATCTAGTACTATATGAAAAGAATCTAGTCCATTTTTACTAATCTACTCCATTTTTAAATAATCTAGTCCATTTTTAAATAATCTAGTCTTTTTTTAAATAATCTAGTCTATTTTTAAAAAAATCTAGTTCATTTTTAAATAATCTAGTTCATTTTTATATAATCTAGTCCATTTTTAAATAATCTAGTCCATTTTTAAACAATCGGTTAGATCTCGTAAAAAATCTATTTCATTAGTCAAAAATCTAGTACATCTCATAACAACCTCCACAATCACAACATTCATTTCCAACCCTTTTTATCTCCAACAATCACGCATTTATTTAATCCCCATCGGTCTCGTCGACCTTTTCCGCTCATTTACTGAATAAATTTTTATCAATCTACATATCTTATGTGGCAGATAAGCCATTATGAATATCCATAAATATAATTGTGTAAACCTTCAGAAAAATTTGTATAAATAAAACAGTGACTTGTCGTTATTATTGTTGCGTAATCAATGAAGTTGAAGGTTGATAACTTAATCGATAAAATTTTTAATGGTTTGCAATAATAAATAAGTCATTAGTATTTTGTACATTAGTAAATTAGGTTGCAGGGGATGCGGGGATGTTGTCATAAAAGATTATTTGGTAAAATTTATAAATTCGGACAGTTTAAGGTACTAAAAAGTTCTTTGATGTAGTTAATAACTCTTCTTAAATAAATAGTAAATTAAAATTCAAAATTAATTAATTCCATTAAGCACATAGCCTATGTAAAGTTGATATTTACTGTTACATCAACCAAATGATGCCTTAAGGTAGAAAATAAATCACATTTACTTTGCATGGAGATATTACAAAGGTCAATTATTCTACAATAGAATTAAAAGCCTGTTTGAATGAAATTTTCAAAGGAATCACTTTGTATAGCAACAACTTGAAGCTTTCAAGAGTCAACAATGAACCAGACCCAACGATGTGTCTAAAAATAAAATGTATAGAATCTTCAGTAGTCACACAATTAAGCATGTTTTTGAATATGAAATGTGAGGATCTGGCGAGCAGTTTGTTGGATTTTAAATGAATTTTGTTATAACTGAGCGTCTCTCAAACTAAAAGGAGCTTAATCTGAACTTTACTCAAGCTGAGCATGAATTAAGCTGAGCATCAGTCAAGCTAAACATCAGTCAAGCTGAGCATTAGTAAAGCTGAACGTCAGTCAAACTGAGCTTCACTCAAGCTGAGCATCACTCAAGTTGAACATCAGTAAAGCTGAGCATCAGTCAAGCTGACATCAAGTTAAACTGAGCATCGTTAAAGCTGAGCATCAGCCAAGCTGAACGTCACTAAAGCTGAGTATCAGTCAAGCTGAACATCAGTCAAGCTGAACATCAGTAAAGCTGAACATCAGTCAAGCTGAACGTCAGTCAACCTGAGCATCACTCAAGCTGAGCATCACTCAAGTTGAACATCAGTAAAGCTGAGCATCAGTCAAGCTGACATCAAGTTAAACTGAGCATCACAAAAACTGAGCATTACTAAATCTGAGCATCACTCAAGCTGAAAGTCACTAAAGCTGAGCATCTATCAAGCTGAACGTCAGTCAAACTGAGCTTAAGTAAAGCTGAATCCAAGTCAAGCTGAGCATCGGTCAAGCTAAGCAAAAGCTTAGCTAAGCATTAGTCAGCTGTGCTTTAGTCAAGCTGAACATTCGTCAAGCTGACCTCAAGTTAAACTGAGCATCGTTAAAGCTGAGCATCAGCCAAGCTGAACGTCACTAGAGCTGAGCATCAGTCAAGCTGAACATCAGTAAAGCTGAACATCAGTCAAGCTGAACGTCAGTCAACCTGAGCATCACTCAAGCTGAGCATCTCTCAAGTTGAACGTCACTGAAGCTGAGCTTCAGCCAATCTGAGCATCATTCAAGCTTAGCATCATTCAAGCTGATTGTCACAAAAGCTGAGCATCAGCTAAGCTGAACATCAGTAAAACTGAACATCAGTAAAACTGAGCATCTGTCAAATTAATCATCAGTCAAGCTGATCGTCACTATAACCGAGCATCGGTTAAGCTGAGCATCACTTAAACTAAGCGTTTGTCAATTTGAGTGTCATTAAATGAAACTTCCAAATGCGTCATCTCTTCTATTAATAACTTTCAAAAAATCACATCAAAGCTTCAAGCTAATGCATGCAAAATTTCAGGGGTAGTTGATAGATAATTTTACAGATTTTGCTCCTCTCAAACACACCCAACGAGTAATAAAATTCACATCCAACCTTTTTCATCAAAAAAAAGAAAGTTTTTCATCAGAAATAATTCAAAAGCATAGAAAAAAAAAGTTGGATTTGGGGCAAAATTAATCAACTGAATAAACAAATGTAAACACAAAAAAAATTTATTAGCATTTAAATTTGAAAAAATAATTTCTGATGAAAAATTCATGAATAATCAATGTTTACATATTTCCTTGTAAATTGAAAATGAAATTTCACCCAAAACAAATTCCATTTATGTCTATTTTCTTTAATGTTTAAGAGCCAAACACGACTTTTAAGGGGGAAGTAGAAAAAAATCAATAAGCACAAGAAAAAAAAAATTCTTGAGAAGCTTTTCGTCTGAGTTCGGAATGTGATGTTAAAACATATTTCAATTGTGTTCAACAGGAATGGAGAAACTGTGTTATATAAAGCAGCATGTAAATAACGACAATCTGCAAGTATGTTAGGTGATTTGAAGAGTTTTGAAGATTAGACGTTGTTTTTTTGAAGGATAAAGATTGTAATATTAGGTTTTGGTATTAAACATTCAGGGGTTTCGGACCACAGTTTTGAAATCCAGGGGTTCAGGACCAAATTTATACTTTCCAGGGTTTTCGGATCACATGTTCAAAGCCAGGGGTTCAGAATCACATCTTGAATGTTCAGGGATTCCAGACATAATTTTAACTATCCAGGGGTTCCGGATTACATTTGCAAAAACCAGGGGTTCCGTTCCACAGTTTTAAAATCCAGGGGTTCCCGATCTCATTTAGAATATCCGTTAAGATCACGTCGCTTCCATTCTTTGATTATAAGTACTCGAAATAGTGATAGTAAATGAAGGTAAGGTCAAGGTTCACACCCTTTAGTGCTAGCCCCTAACATAACTCGATCAAACAGCTTTAGAAGTTGCAGCTTTAAGCTCCCATCATTCAAAGCGTTCATCAAACATCCAAAAATATCTCAATATGCCCAACAAAAACGTGTTACAAAACAACATAAAATGCTAAACAGACATTAACCTTTAAACACAAAAAAAAAGAAATGCCTTCAAAACCAGAACAATTTCTATCGAATAACAACAAAAAAGTAAAATAAAATTCATAACAAAACCGAGCAAACAGTCAACAAATTTAACTACAAATTATATTCTCTCGTTCACCTCACAGCAACAAATTTGTATGTGACTTTCATTTCCGATCAACATCACAGACAGGGATCGTATAAATTTAATCACACAAATGAAGCCGCTGGCACGTGACATCAGCCAAAAGCAGAATGTTTACGAATAAAAACGGCATTGAGAAATTTCTGAGAAATTAAATACATATTATGAGCGTAGACTGAGAAGGGATGTCGTTAACATGAAAAAACAAGGCTAGAAAGACGTAATAACAAAGAAGAAGAAGGCAGAAAAGACCCTTGAACAGAAAATATCTGATAATCATAGACTGTAAAAGCTTGTCATCGTCACCTTATCGGAAATGGATCTATTATCATTTTGTGTCAAGATATAAAAAGTTAAGCAAATGTTTTGATTTTTTTGGGGGGGGAGGAAAAGTTGCTCGTATTTTTGAGTTTGGAATAAAATCTGAAGGAGATTTAAGCTGTGATTTGGTAATATCAAAAAATTATGAACAATCTAGTTCAACTTATGAACAATCTAGTCCAATTTATGAACAATTAAGTCCAACTTATGAACAAACTAGTCCAACTTATGAACAATTAAGTCCAACTTATGAACAATCTAGTCCAACTTATGAACAATCTAGTCCAACTTATGAACAATCTAGTCCAACTTATGAACAAACTAGTTCAACTTATGAACAATCTTGTCCAACTTATGAACAAACTAGTCAAACTTATGAACAATCTAGTCCAACTTATGAACAATCTGGTCCAACTTATGAATAATCTAGTCCAACTTATGAACAAACTAGTCCAACTTATGAACAATCTAGTCCAACTTATGAACAATCTAGTCCAACTTATGAGCAATCTGGTCCAACTTATGAATAATCTAGTCCACTTTATGAACAATTAAGTCCAACTTATGAACAATCTAGTCCAACTTATGAACAATCTAGTCCAATTTATGAACAAACTAGTCCAACTTATGAACAATTAAGTCCAACTTATGAACAATCTAGTCCAACTTATGAACAAACTAGTTCAACTTATGAACAATCTAGTCCAACTTATGAACAATCTAGTCCAACTTATGAACAATCTAGTCCAACTTATTAATAATCTAGTCCAACTTACGAACATACTAGTCCAATTTATGAACAATCTAGTCCAACTTATGAACAATCTAGTCCAACTTATGAACAATCTGGTCCAACTTATTAATAATCTAGTCCACCTTATGAACAATCTAGTCCAAATTTATAAACATTACAACTTATGAACAGTCAAGTGCAGTTTATGAACAATCTAGTCCAATTTATGAACAATCTACTCAAATTTATGAACAGTTTAGACAAACTTATGAAAATCTATTACAAATTCACGAATAATCTGTAACAATTCATAAAAAAAATCTAGTTAAGTGTCAATATGATCACATAACACTCACCTCATTGGTCTCGAATTATAATACAAAGCACCATCTTCATAATTTTCACCATCCTCAGCATCCTCATAAATATCCTCATCCTCTTCAGGATAACTATTGTTATAATGATTATTACAGTCATAATATTGCCTCTCATCTCGCTCATACGAGTTTTGTCGTGACGTCTCAAGCGATGACATTGGAGTCGTTGCTGACACACCAAAACTATTCTGCTGATGATTATTCATCATTTGATAATTGTAATCCGATTGATAGTCGCCATAATTCTCAATATATTGCTCATTCTGATTATTCTGATAATTAATCATTTTCCCATCGGTCGCATTTTGAGTGTCGACATCATACGGCAGCTCAAAGTGGAGATCAAGAAGTATCATATGACCCGTAGGATCGCGGGTGCCTTGCACCTCGCCATTTACTGTCACCAAATCGGTATCGATTGTGAACCATTGTTCATATGTTGCTGGATATTCAAATTGATTGTACGGTAGGGTGTCGAGTGGAATGTATTGGAAGCCGAGAGCGCGATCGAGGATAAGATTTTTGCACCATACCTCAATGACGACGCCGGAATTTGAGGTTGCATTTGTTTCGCTGTTGAATAAAGAGAGAAAAATTTATAAAAAAAGGGATCAAAAAATTTGCATGAAATTTGTTAATTGGGAGAATTTGGTTTGATAATTGAGGGAATTGGATGATTAGTGAGTTTATTTGCATGGATGGGTTGAGATGAACTTAATGAATATTCGAATTAGTAAAGGTTGAGTAATGACGGATTTTAATAAGGTTAGAATCGTTGTAAATTTAATTCATCCTTTGAAGTTTTTTATTTCTTTAGTGAAAAGTTTCATCCCGTTTTCAAAGATATAATGTTCCTTCTAAAAAGGGCGTACAGTTGCATACCCCTTACATAACTTTCGCACCCTTTTCTTAAAGTTGCACACCCCGTTCAAAAGTTGAATATTTATTTGGAAAGTTGCGAAACTCTTTTCAAAAGTTATATGCTGCTCCCAAAAGTTGTTTTCTCCTATTAAACAGTTCCATACTCCTGACAAAAGTTACATACCCCTTCCAAAAGTTGAAAACTACGTATATAAGTTAAATACCTCTTTCAAAGGTTTCATACCCCCTTTAAAAATCTCATGTTCCTTTCTTGAAGTTACAGTCACTTTATATAGGTTGCGTACCCCGTCTTAAACAGTTACGTACCTCTCCTTAACAGTTATGTACCCCATCTTAACAGTTGCGTACCTCTTCTTAACAGTTATGTACCCCAATCTTAACAGTTGCGTACCCCTTCTTGACAGTTGCGTACCTCTCTTCATAACAGTTGCGTACCCCGTTCATGACTTAGAAAACTCTTTTATAAGCTGTGTACCCCTAAGAAAATTTCTCAACAAAACCTTAATTTCAATAATCTTAAAAAATGCAAAGTTAAGAGTCAACCGAAAAGCTTTCACATACTTTTTAATAAAAGAAAAAATTCCAAACAACAAAGAAATTTAATAAAAATGTTTATTCTGTACTAAATTAAATTTGACAATATGCCTTGAACATCCAATAATTTTATTCAGCTTATATCATGAATATTTTTTTTTCCTAGAACCTTATTTCTCTTTGAACTTTTATTGTGCATGAGCCACGCGTGTCTTTGCTGGTGAACGACAAGTCTTTGTTATTTTTAGAATAAAAGTGTCTTCTTGGTTAATTTTGTTGAAAATTGTTGAATTTATTCAATTCCATTCGCTAGTCACAAGTTGCTGAACTTTTCAAATTCCATTCCAATCTGTCCAAACATTATTTACTTAAATAGACACAATAACAACATTAAAGAAGTACGAAGTCCCCAAGTAGCAATTTTTTATTAAATATTGATTTAAAATGGAATATTAAGGACATAAATAGAAACAGAAATGCCATCGGAGGAGACTCGTTACACGTGGGACATTATAATTATTTGTTGACTTTCTTATGAAAATTTTTATACTTTTTTTTTTGATTTTTTTTATTCAAGCATACGTGCATGACGAAGGGAATTTTTGGGAGTCTAAAAAGTTGACGCAGAAAGTAAATTTTCTTGGAAAATCAAAAATTTTTGAGCAAAAAGTGAATTTTGATAAACTTTTAATGATTTTTTGAGAATTTGTGTACAAAATTTCTTTTTCAGCCTTATTAATGGAGTTTAAATTGAGCTTATTAAAGCTCTGAACTCCTTAAATCCCACTTTGAACTCACTCCTGGCTCCTTCCAACTCATTCAGAATATAAAAAATCACAAAAGTCCTCGTGTTATTGATCGAGGGACTTCAGCGCATTTTTGACGAAGCGATCAGTATTTGATTATAGTATAATTATTAATTTGCTGCAATGAATTTCCATATAGAAAAAGTTTATCATTTAACGGATTTTTGAAATTCAAATTTTACAACGGCTAGAAAAAATTTGAAATTATAGAGGTAATGTTGAAATTATAGAGGTAAAATAAATTTGAGCAGGTTACACTGAAAACTAAACAAAAATTCATGAATTATAGCATAAATACACTTTTTCAAGACTTTTAACTGTTCGATGGGACAATCAACAATAGTAACGGAGCTAATAAAACAAACCTGAGCTCTCTACGATGTCTGGTTAAAATGTTTTTATGCTTACCCAGCCGAGCAAACGAACGAACGAACAAAGTGCATTATTAAGCTTCCTTTTCGAAAACAAGTTTTCAGAAATGCGCTTAAAAGTGAGCAATAATCCCAATTTTAAAACTCTAATCATTCATTCACTGATACTATTTTTATTTATAGACAAGATAACCTGAAAAAAGGTACAAAAACATCGAAAAAGCTCCAACATAATAATAAAGAAAATGTTTTTGACCTTTTTTTTAGGTTTGAAAGTTTTTTTTCTATGAAAAATTGGTACAAAAACAAAGAAAAAAAAATAAATAAATTGGATTTTCTGTGCTTTTTGAGTGACTCGTGACTAGTATTTAATTTGGCTTGTTGAATGGAGCTTTTGTGATAAATATTTTAATGAATAAATTTGTAGTTTTTTTTTATTTTGAAGCTTATTTATGAGAGAACTTTAATTTTCAAATTGGGATATTTTTTTATCATTTATTAATTATTTATATTTGTTTTTTTATGAACCAATAAATAAAAGCCCAAATGACTGACTCACTGGCTCTAGAATGGAAGCCATGTGAAGCCACTTGTGAAGCCGAATGAAGCCAATGTTTTGGTAAGTGTTGATAAGTTGGGGGTTGGGTGTCAGGTGTGAAATAAGGTGGGTCCGAGTTTGAGGGAGTTTATGATGTCATATGAAGTTTTGTGGTAGAATTGACAATAAAAACTTTATGGTTATTTGCGCCTTACAGTTATCCACAAAATAGGAATCAAATTTAAACCCTAATAACGGGCACCACGGGCGACCCCGAAAAGCCTAGTATAATATAATTGCAATGATTTCTGATTTTAAATTTTTGCAAATTTTTTTTAAATTTTTGCAAAATTTTTTTAAATTTTTTCAAATTTTTTTTTTTAAAATGTTCACTTTTTTACTTTTTATTTTCCTTAACTTTTCAAAAAAATTCAATTTTTTTTCTTTAATTTTTAAAAATGATTTTAATGTTTCCAACTTCTTTTTTCAATTGTTTCAAATTATTTTCAATCTTTTAAATTATTTTTTCAACTTTTCTTGATTTTTAATTTTTTTTTCAATTTTCTAAAGCAAATACTTGAATAAGAAATCTTTAACATCAAAATTAAAGTTTTTAAATTCGCAATTATCCTCAAAATAGTAAAATTCATCCGATAATAATTAAAATTCATAATCGAAATCAATTTTCCGTCTCAAATCTCAATAATCTCCATAAAATTTGTCATAATATTAATTATCCGAAATAATTAAAATGACAAATCACAATTTTATCCTCAAATAATTACCTCGGGCACTCGTTATTGTTTTATTTATCAATAATAATTACAATTTTTGATTTGCATTAATTTAAATTTTGTCACATTTGCTGGTCATTTGAGTTTGTGAGCTCATTTTGATGTTCATTAAGTTTAGGATTCTCAAATTTTTAAATCAAACTTTTTTTTTCAATTCTACCAAATTTCTTCAAAATATACTCACAATAGAAAGTCTTGATTCCACACTGGTTCTGCACCCTTGACAGTTTGAGTTGTTGTTTTGACATTTTGGACTTTGACATTAACATATGTATTGTTCTGTGATGCCTGTTCGCCAACGTATTTTGCACGTTTAACTGAAATTTAAGAAAAATTCAAATTATTTTTGGATTAGTAAAATATTGACATGTTATTTTTGTATTTATTGGAACCAAAAATGCGAATCTTGATTGCTTTGCTTGACAATTTAGTCTATGATCCACTCAAAACCTATAATTTTTACTATAAACTAGCTTTTGGCACCAAAGTGTATCATAAATACCAGTTTGTGGAGCATCCAGAAGTAACAAAACATTTGATGTTTATCTCCAACTATAGTTCAATAATTAGGGTATTCAATGCTGAGGTCTAATTAATAGCAGAGTCCTTTAGGTAGCCCTCATTGAGGTGCGTAGTAAGGAGGGTCTGGTCCGCAGTATAAAACTCTTAAGAGTGGGACAATACCCTCCTGGCTACGCACCTGGCCCTCAGTAAGCCTAGCCATAGTCGATATACATAAAATACTGTAAGAAAATCGTCCGGATGCTAGTTAATCCTTGAAATACCAAAAAGACACACTTTAAGCTAAATACTTCAATGTCACACACAGCATATGAATCGACTTGCATGATCAGAGTGAGGAAATGAATTACTAGCTTCTTCCCTAACATGAAATGTGAGCTAAGCCTCCAGCACTATGGCAACGTCCCTCTACTAACTTAAGATTCTGATGCAGACATCATTGGCAGTAACATTAAGTTTACAGCATAAGATCATCATTTACTAGACCTAGCACGTCTGATTCTCTCTTATTCACACTCAACTCATCCACACCTTCATAAATAATTTAAATAAATTTCTCAGAATTTTTTTCATTCACATCCTTCATAATTCAGCCCACAAAACATGAAGAAAAATTCTCAGAAAATCCACAAGCAGCAAGATGGTTGAATATTAAGATTACTGAGCTCTTTCGCACACTTATTGCTCCATAATTCATGTAAATTTGCTCAAGATTGCAGAATAATCCAAATTTACACGTGTAATCTCATTAAATTCACCGCAAATAACGACTCTTTTAATTACTTTGAATTCCTTTACAAGGTTGGATAAACGGAACTGCCTTAAATGCCACGGTCATCATAAATTTTCAACCTTATTCTTTTGTTATCATTTTGGCACTTTGATAGCGAATTTGTCCTCCAATTTGAATCATACTTAATCCATAAAGTTTAGTCAAGCATCAAAAAATTGAATCAAATTAATAGAATTTTTTGGAAAATCTTTAAATAATTCATACCAATGAGATGTCGGGGCACGATAAAAAAAATTGAATAGAAGAAGGTTGAATGTCTATAATGTTCAGTGTCTAAATTGCTTTTCTATATATATACAGCTTCTTTTAACTCAATTTCTTCTTCTTATTTCAACTCATTCAGTTCCATTTCTTTCATTATTTGCCCCTTTCTTACATTGAATGAGACGATAGTGAATAGATCAAGTTCGGGGATGATTTTAGGTTATTTTAGGAAAAAGGCGCATATTCTTTAGAATTTTAAATTCAAAATAGAGATTTTACAATTCTAACCTCAAAGTCAAGATTTTGGAATTATAACCTCAAAGTCAAGATCATGGAATTCTAACCTCAAAGTCATGATTTTTGGAATTCTAACCTCAAAGTCAAGATTTTGGAATTCTAACCTCAAAGTCATATTTTGCGATTCTAACCTCAAATTCAAAATTTTGAAATTATAACCTTAAATCAAGATTTTGGAATTCCAACCTCTAAATTTATTTATTTTAAAATCTAACCTCAAAATCGAGATTTCACAATCCTAACCTCAAAGTAGTCAATTTGAAATCATAATCTCTAGAGCTCATTTATATCATAACTTAGTGAACTTCCTTTGACTGAACAAAGAAGAAAATCTGCCCACACTCACTATTTCACCTCAATCTACCGCTAAAGATGGATGAATTGGATGAATTTCAGCTCACATAACCGTCATAACATTTCATTTTCTTCTTCTTAATCCCACACTTTTCTTTTCATTTCATTTCCATTCTTTATTCTCATTTCGCTCGTTTTGAGTTTAATGTCTGATAAAAGAAGAATTTCTGCCTTTTGAATGAAAAAAAAACTTCCTCCATTCTCGTTCATTCAAGAGCATGATTCTGCATGCGTGTGTGTGTTTGTGACTTCCTAAGCTCAATTTCCTTACATAACTTTTGCTCTTTTCATCGTTATTGCTGTAATACTCATACAAGATATGCTGTGTATTCATTGTGGATTCAATTAAAATAGGAATAATGAGGCTAGAAAATGTTAAGGTTTAAAGGATTTTTTTCGGAATTCTTCATAACCTCAAAGTTCAAGAACATGATCTCAAAATTCAGGAACATAAACTCAAAATTCACGAACACAATCTCAAAATTTAGTAGCATAACCTCAAAATTTAGAAACATAACCTCAATATTGGAATCTAACCCCAAAATTCAGCAGCATAACCTCAAAATTTTAGGAACATAACCTCAAAAACTCATAAACCTAGCCTTTAAACTCTAGAACCAAACCTGAAAATTCAGGAACATAACCTCAAAATTTAGTAGCATAACCTCAAAATTCAGAAACATAACCTCAAAATTGGAATCTAACCCCAAAATTCAGCAGCATAACCTCAAAATTTTAGGAACATAACCTCAAAAACTCATCAACCTAGCCTTTAAACTCTAGAACCTAACCTGAAAATTCAGGAACATAGCCTCAATATTCAAAACTTAACCTCAAAATTCGTGATTTTAACCTCAAATTATGAATCTCATTTATGAATTTACCTCAAAATAAAATTCATTACAAAAGAAAAGTCACAAAATAAGCTCTTTAAACTCATTCATTTGCGACTACAGCTGTAAGCCCGTTAACAAAAACCAAAAAATTTCATGTGTCATGCAAAAATTAAATCACAAATCATCACAACTGTGAAGGAAATTGCTGATAAAGTTTTAGTCGAGGTGTAGCGACAATGAATTTTTCATTACTTTCTGTTTTGAAATGGTTCGGAAATCGTTTAAAAAAAGCAAATAAAATAAAAATTTAATTTCGGTTTAGAAAAGTGAATGCTTGAGGTTGATGGGGTGGGACGTGCAGGAGGTGTGGGGTTGTTTAACTGTAAAGAATGTGTTTTTTTTAGCATTTTTGGAGATTCTTTATTTTGGAACGGCAATGGGATGCGTGTTAAGTGGAGGTCAAATCTTCAAGATAATTCATTAGGCTTTAATAAGTCCGTACCTTGAGAAAGCTAGTCTCAAAAATTTAAGATTTATGTTTCATTTGCTGGGATAAAGCTCATGAGGAAGGGTTTGACTCAAACCGTGCACACCTTGAGCAATGGCAAACCTGTAGTCATTTTTTGTTATATTTCATCAGCTTCGTTACTCTTGATTCGACTAGAAGATGCAAAGCCCTGCCATCAAAGGCTTTACTGTCAAACTTTGAGTCTATATCACTTTTTTGGACCTATTTTTCTTTGAAATGATTTAAAATTTAGTCAGTCCTGCTTTTGGACCAAAAATCTGCAAAACCAGATGCACAGCCATCCCAAGACCCTCACTCATTTAATTCACAAGATTATTTTTTGCATCAAATAATCTTCAGCAAAGAAGCTCTCAACCACTCACATTCAGAGTGAAAGCCTTCATTCTTATGAACACATTAAGAAATGGCAATGATAATGTTAATGGCAAAGGATCATCCCACACAGTTTTAGGCTACAGTTCTTATCTTTTCCATGGCCATCGTTGCTGATGATTGTTGTGAAAACAAATTTAAAAAATTTATTTTTATAAAAAAAGGAAATTATGAGACTTTGGAGAGTGCATGTTGAGTGATCTTGAACTTTATAATCGTTTAAAGGTTAGTTTAAGATGATTTATGGGGATTGATAGGATTTAGGATTTAAGATTGATCTAAAGTAATTATCTTAATCTTCATTACTTGAGTTGTATGTGCTATATTCATAGCTTGAATGAACCCTTCTGCTTTTTTAGCATATTCTATGAAGGTGCACGTTAATCCATAAAAAATGTGAGAAGGTTCCAGCCAAGCGATGTGTTACTACACGTTGCGATAAGCTGAAGGAACTATGATCCCGATCGATGATAGAATCTATTATACCGTAGGTTAATCCATACCAAGCCTTTGTTGCAGATGCATATTGAGCAAGTCATCCCCAAAAACCAATTCTTTAGGTCCACCCCTGTCATACTTCAATGTTCGAAATGAGTTATCATAGGAGCTAGTAACTATCTGAACTTCTCTTCTTAGGTTCCAAGAACAACCAAGAGTGAGTTCCATATTTCTAGTTCGATGAATAACCGAGACCCTCCTCTCAGGCTCCTAGATTAGCCTACATGTGACCCAACACACCAAATAACACTGTGCTCTAAAATCAGAATCAGCAAAATTGATTGTTCCATCAATCTGCACGCAATGATTTATGACAAGCATTCCAACATCACCACAATAAGAAATGTGATAAATTTACCATTAAAATAGCTTTTTAACTCAACATTTATTTAGGATTTTTCCATCGAAATTGTTATTTTATGTACATTTAGGAAATATTTTAACCCAAAAAAATTATTTTGATTTGTATTGAAATATTTATGGACGTCCTGAGCGCATAACATTACTCATGATTCTTAGAAGAAAAAAATTTCTCAACAAAATGAAAATTTTATAAAAATTCTATTAAAAAAGTTTAAATTTGATATTCCCGGAAGAAACTTTTTTTTTTCGCATCCTTTCACCTTTTTTTGCTCTTCTATTCAATTTTATAAAAGTTTTTTTTTCTTCACTCTTTTCATTTCGATTTATTTTTTCAAGGATTTAATGAGACATGACATAAAGAAGAGGACTCGTGAAAGAGAATCACAATAGAACAGGATGAATGAGAAAGGAAATTTGTATGAAAAGATTTTTGAGAGAGAAAAATTAAGAAAATTTAACGAAGATCGTGGATTAAGGGGTGGGAAAATGATTTTTATGAATCTTGTGTGAATGCACCTGAATATTATTAAAGTTAATGTAAAGACAACT